TAGTACAGATAAATTGAGGCCACTTAAGTCTAGAACAGGACATGCAAGTCTGTTGAATTGAGTGATGTGCTGGTTATGCTGTGAGGGCTTTTCTCTTTTGTTTTTTGTTGCTCTAGTGCACTGAAGAAACTTTTGCTGAAAACACTAATCAGATAACTGAGGAGAAACAATGAATATGGGTGAATGAATAAAATGAATGAATAAGAGTATTTATTACAGTTATTTTGCAAATTATTCAAAAACTCTTCTTGACTAGTTCATCACACTTTAAATGGAAGGTCAAGTAGTGCAATGCATTGTGGGATATTGTGTTTAGCACCAGGTGCTGTGTTGTATACTGCACGTTTTAAAAACTGTAGTAAGACAGGTTTATATGTAAATGCATGTATATTTATGTATTCATTTAATTTCAGTAAGATTTATTGTTTTTGAAAGACTGCATTTATTTCATCAACAGAAGCAGTGTTTATTTTAGTATCATTATATACTATTATATAGATATACTATTAATTTTTATAATTTTGAATTCATTTCAATTTTTAGATTTTCTGTTTTCATTTAAAATTTAGTTTTAGTTGTTTTAGTAATTTGTTGTGTTTTTTTTCTTTTTCTTTTTTATACGTCTCTATATTTCTTATTAATTTGTATTGCCTTTTTAGTTTGAGCTAACTTAAAGTACTTAAACTAAAATAAAATGAGAAACAATGCCTTGGCAACTAGTGGAAATAAAATGTTTAAGATTTTCATATTTTATTTTCATTTTATTTCAGGTAACATTTATTTCAAGTAACAAAACTTTGTTTTAGTTTTAATTTGTTTTAGTTAACTATAATAACCCTACAGTACCATCAAAAACAGTAATATTGTGACATTATTACAATTTAAAATAACTGCTTTTTTATATGAATGAATATATATATATATATATATATATATATTATTATCAATGTTGAAAACAGTTGAGCTGCTTGATATTTTTTGTGGAAATCTTAATACTGTTTTCAGGACACTTTGATTAATAGAAAATTCATTCATTGCATTTTAATGCATTATTGCTGAATGGAAGGTATAATTTCTTTCAAAGAGAAAGAGAAGAAATAAGACCTACAGTCCTTCAGAATCAGAGAAACAAAAATGATGTACTTTACAGCTCAATATGTGCATAAAAGTGCAGCTGATCATGTAAGAAATAACAGTTTTAGAAGAACACTTGCAATTATTAGTGAATGAGAGCCATTTTCTTTTCTCTCTCTCTTTCTGTATATAACATTCATGAATCAATACCCACACGTTCCTCTTCTTGGCTCGGCTCCTGTAATCTTTGCAGGTTTGCTGTGCCATTTGGCACAATCATATAGTTGATAAACTTGAGTTCAAATGGCCCTCAATGGTCATGTGCTCTTATGGCTGCAAGCTAAAAGCATGTGAAATGTGTTTGCCGCCTTTAGCCAGATGGCCATATGCCTCCCATGCTGAATGAATTCAGTGCTAATCTGCAGCCTGAACATATAAAAATACTAAAAAAGCATCATGTCCAAAAAAAGGAACCTTCAATTAAGTTTGTTATAAGAATTGTCTTAGTCTACAGGAATAGATCAATACTTCAGTAAGGAGGCAAAAGCACAATTAAGGCTTTGTGTGTGGAGTAAACTGAATCATCTTGACCTGTTCAAGTCTCATTTATGAACAAAGTAATTTTGAATCAGATTTTTTCAGTGAATTGATTGAGCTGATTCACAAAAATGTTCAAAATGGTTTGTTCATAGGCCTATAGGCACTTGTCTAATGGTTAAAATTAAATTTCCAGAAAAAAATGTTTCTTACATATCAATTTTATTTGTTTTATTTTTTCCTCCCACATTTTGCCAATGAGTAATAATTGTGAAGCCTGCTACTGTATATAGTTGATGCCTTTAGAAAAAAACAACACATCTTTAAAGTCAAGAAAATGATGTACTTTACAGCTCAATATGTGCATAAAAGTGCAGCTGATCATGTAAGAAATAACAGTTTTAGAAGAACACTTGCAATTATTAGTGAATGAGAGCCATTTTCTTTTCTCTCTCTCTTTCTGTATATAACATTCATGAATCAATACCCACACGTTCCTCTTCTTGGCTCGGCTCCTGTAATCTTTGCAGGTTTGCTGTGCCATTTGGCACAATCATATAGTTGATAAACTTGAGTTCAAATGGCCCTCAATGGTCATGTGCTCTTATGGCTGCAAGCTAAAAGCATGTGAAATGTGTTTGCCGCCTTTAGCCAGATGGCCATATGCCTCCCATGCTGAATGAATTCAGTGCTAATCTGCAGCCTGAACATATAAAAATACTAAAAAAGCATCATGTCCAAAAAAAGGAACCTTCAATTAAGTTTGTTATAAGAATTGTCTTAGTCTACAGGAATAGATCAATACTTCAGTAAGGAGGCAAAAGCACAATTAAGGCTTTGTGTGTGGAGTAAACTGAATCATCTTGGCCTGTTCAAGTCTCATTTATGAACAAAGTAATTTTGAATCAGATCTTTTCAGTGAATTGATTGAGCTGATTCACAAAAATGTTCAAAATGGTTTGTTCATAGGCCTATAGGCACTTGTCTAATGGTTAAAATTAAATTTCCAGAAAAAAATATGTTTCTTACATATCAATTTTGTTTTATTTTTTCCTCCCACATTTTGCCAATGAGTAATAATTGTGAAGCCTGCTACTGTATATAGTTGATGCCTTTAGAAAAAAACAACACATCTTTAAAGTCAAGTCACCTTTATTTATATAGTGCTTTAAACAATACAGATTGTGTCAAAGCAGCTTTACAGGTTTAAACAGGAAAAACGTGTGCCGATAATGCAAGAGGAAAATAGAAAACAAGTCAGTTTAGAAAAAAGACAGTTCATTGTTGATTCATTGATGTCATCGTCCAGCTCTGTTCAAAAGTATTGAACGTATTAAAAGTATTAAACTGTGAGACAAAATGTGCTAAAAATCGATTTAAATGAGCATTTTAGAGCCAAATCATCCAGTTTGTGTAATTGACATGTCAACAACATTTATACAAATCCCTCGAGTCACATTCTTTGTCTATATTGAGATGCTGTGTCGCTGCCAAATTGGCAGTTTGTGGTGGAATGGGTCTGTGCTGCAGACGGTGGGTGATATAATTAGGGCTAATTTTCTGTTTTCTGTTCTTTTGATAACAGGGTAAACCACAGACTCTCACAACCCAGTCCCAGTGTAACAGAATGGTGCAGGACGCCTACAGACTTTCATAGATGCAGCGATTATTTCAGGCAAGTACAAATAGAGAACTCAAAATGGCGATAGAGAAAGAGAGAAATCTGTCATTTTGTACTGAAACTCTGCAACCTTCTGCAAACTAATGTCTTCATCCCAGTCTCTCACTTTCAGAGGAGGAGAGATGTTCTCTGGTGTTTTCCGGAGGGAACTCTTCACTTATTTCCTGTCTCTTGACCTCAGCTGCAGATCGGTGTCTTTTAAGCGTTCCTTCAAGCTATTCTGTTGGTGAAGGTTAATCGAAAACAATGGCTAGCTGCTGGGATTCACAAAGCTGCCACATTTAATCCCCTCGTTCGCTGTGAGATAAACTCTGGATTTTCCACAAGATCTTGTCTTAATTTGTGCAGATTATCTACAGTGGATGATTCCCGCCAGCAAATATACCGACACAGCTCGTTGTCAGTGGCTTAAGCAGGTAGTAGCCGCATATTTGTGTGTATAACAGCCGGATCTAGAATTTGGAGGCCAAGTTTAAAAGGTACGATTTAAAAAAAAAAGTAAACATTTTAGTAAAGTAAAGTTCTATCAAACATTGATAATGGCCTCAATCTTTTAAACGACTGAGAAGATAGTGATCAAACTACATTTTATGTAAATTTCAGCAAGTTATGTTTGAGGTACATTACACCAGAGGTGTAAAGTATTTGAGTAATTAATTACTGTACTTGAGTATCTTTTTGGATACTCTAAATTTATTAATAAAGCAAAAATAAATGCCTGTATATCACAAATGAATCTCTTGAGAGAGAAGGAGAGAACATGTTTTAGCATATATGGCTATTTTACGATACATTTGAGGATTGTAACTGTAAACCCGAACAGTACTACTAACTTATAAAGATTAAGAACACTGCAATTAAAGTCTGTTAAATCGTTGATGCAACTTATAACAATTACATTTTCTGAACGAGGAATTTATTTTTATTTTTATGTGGCTCAACAGTTTTGAGTAAACTCTTATATTTAAATTATTATTTTTAAGTTTACTGAGTGACGTAAAGTGACGTCACCTCGTTGCTCTAACCGACGTTCAGAAGAATCCATTTACCATGGCGGAGACTTGCAAGTGACCGGAGCAAACTTAATGGAACAACTTGTAAGTAAAAGTGATCAAACTACATTTTATGTAAATTTCAGCAAGTTATGTTTGAGGTACATTACACCAGAGGTGTAAAGTATTTGAGTAATTAATTACTGTACTTGAGTATCTTTTTGGATACTCTGTAGTTTTACTGAGTATCAAAGCGATTAGCAACTTTTACTCTCTACTTAACTACATTTTCTACAAAGTATCTGTATCCTTTACTCCACTACATTTGTTATGAGTGTTGCAGTTACACATTTCATTTTGCATGGCACCTAGCTTTTTCTGCAGCAGTTTATTTCTGCTACAAAAGAAGTGATATCACCAACTACAGGGCACTGAAAGTACTATATCTAGTGTGTTTTGCCCTTACTTACCCAAACTTGTCAACAAGGCTACTTTACGTGAATGTGAGTTCCTTAGCAAGTAGTTGTGAATCACAGGTGTTTTATATATGAGATGAGGACATGACTGCAGCCGGCAATGAGGCTGAAACCAGCACATCTAGTGCAAGAAGGCTTTGACTTTTTCATTTTACTTAACATTATTTCAATCATGACAACTCCCGGATGATTTTAGCATGGTGATGCATATGACAATGTTAATGTATTATTTTTGTGTGGCTCAACAGTTTTGAGTAAACTCTTCTATTTAAATTATTATTTTTAAGTTTACTGAGTGACGTAAAGTGACGTCACCTCGTTGCTCTAACCGACGTTCAGAAGAATCCATTCAACATGGCGGAGACTCGCAAGCGACCGGAGCAAACTTAATGGAACAACTTGTAAGTAAATCAAAACAACTGTGAAAATTTCTTATTTGCTTTTTGAGTGTTGTAAGAATATCATGATAAAGGAATGTTTTCATTTTTGGGAAACGCTGTTTTTACACAGCGCTGTAAAGCGCGCCATTTCCCTAGTGCTTTTGAATGCGCATTTTGAATGCTATTTTAGCGTCACTGCTTATAGTATAATGTTAAAGTCAAAGAAGGGCACTAATGTTAACGTTAGCCGGGATTTTTTCAGTAAACGCAGTCCTAATGAGGACATGACTGCAGCCGGCAATGAGGCTGAAACCAGCACATCTAGTGCAAGAAGGCTTTGACTTTTTCATTTTACTTAACATTATTTCAATCATGACAACTCCCGGATCTAATACACAGACATGAATTTTGCAATATATTAAATTTACAAAAGCAATCTACAAACTTGTAGTAAACCTTTACAAACTTTCTTTAATTGCAGGCTGAGCTGGTTGCTGAATACAAAAGAGTGAGCCTCAACACTTAAGGTAACGTTAACTTCTATTCAGTTGAAGAGCAAGTTGTGTATACACTTACTTGTGCGTGTTTGTGGTTTTCTAGGTTTGTGCTGAGTTTCACCATATCAGAGAAAGTGGCACACACCAGCAAGATTTCACAGATGCTGCATGACATTCTAAATGTTTGATCTTCAGGTGAGTGCAAATTCACAAACACTAACTACCTACATCACTGTCTTCATTGTATATAAAATAAAGTTGGCCTGCTTGTTTAACATGTTTTTTTTGTTTGTTTACATGATGTCATGCTCTCCCAGTGTACGTGTGTGAAGAGAACTACTCTTCAGGACATGAAATGTAAGTATTAAGTGCATTAATAGATCTGAAATAGAGTGGGGGAACTATGACGTCAGAACCTGGAAGTGTAATTCGCCGCGGGTTCCTTTGAGATTTTCCAATGGGTTTTTTTTTAATGGGGTTTTTCAATTTATGAATAAAATAAAGCCTGTGGTAAATATATCTTGACGATACTTCTACGTATTGATCTACAATATAAACTGCACACACTCACAGCCTAAACCTTCTTATCTAGCTACTTACTAAAAACGTACGTTTTCAAAAATGAACATAACTGCTTCAAAAAATTTATTTTGGGTATGGATGTGTGTAATTTACGTTGTACAACAAAACGTAAAAGTATCGTCAAGTTATGTTTACCACAGGCTTTATTTTAATTGAAAAACCCCATAGGAAAATCTAGAAGGAACCCATGGCGAATTACTCTTCCGGGTTCTGATGTTATAGTTCCCCCACTCTATTGGCAGTAAATATAAATGTCTACTTTTAGTCTCTGAAGTTAAAGTTTTACCCTCTTTGCTTATTCCAGGAGGAATTGGGCGAGCCAGACATCACTGACACAAACACCTCTCCTGCTGATTTTGTTATCATGGACAACGAAACCACTACAAGTCCTGCAAGCACTGCAGTTGTGATGAGATGATCTTCCAGTGTTTGACATTCAGAAATACACAGTTCATGCGGTTTAAAAAAGGCTGAATAAAAAATCCTCAATTGTATAGCCACAGTTGTGCGTGTGTTTTTTTTATGCATAAGTGTATTTTTTGAGTTAGTATTTGTATTTAATAAAGCACTACTGCATTAAAATAATTGGTAAATGAAAAACATTACGTATGATAAACAATAATTTTAAGTACACTGCACTTAAACATTAAAACAAATTTAAACTTTTAGTTTGACTTAATTGTTATTTATAATTAATGTTAACTTAAAAAATTTGAGTTGCTTAATTAATTTTTTTTAGGTAATCGGTGTCCACAAAAATTGAGTTTTCTGAACTTATCGGGTTTTACAGTGTAGTGAATGCTAGTCAGCCATATAAATGCAAGGCAGTAAGCTCATTGGCTGCATATGCAGCATGAACCAATCAGATTGTGCTAAGTCGTTTAGCTCTCTGAATATCATCGGTTACATTAACAACCCGTCGCCTGCGCCATCTAGAGTTTCATGACTGAACTATATATTTTATTTATCCTTAATACTAATAAAAGAGACCTTTTTGAAGGATTTTTTTTTTTCAGTTTTGAGGTGTTCAGTTTTATTTTGGTTTTATAAATAAACGTGATTGCTCTCCTCACAAACCAACTTTTTCTTGTTTTTCACTGGCATGTCTCTGACTAGTGCATCTTTGAGCCTATATTTAGTATAAGTAAAATACTTAAGTACTGTTAAAATCAGATACTCTAAGACATTTACTCAAGTTGTTTTGTAACTGGGGACTTGTAACTTGTAATGGAGTTATTTTCACTGTAAGGTATGTGTACTTTTACTCGGGTATGGTTTTCAGGTGCTCTTTACACCTCTGCATTAAACTCTCAGACAGCAGACAGACAGCACGTTGAAGCGCCCAGGCTGCCATTTTCTCCTTCTCCGAAAGCGATGGTGTAGTCAAAACATCCGATAATGTGGGTTTTTTAGGTAATGTGTGTACTCCCTGGACCTCTGCAGGCTTCTCGTACATGCTACTGTGTATTGTGCATGACAGAATATCGTCTGTCTCAAATTCGTTGACTTTCAATGACTGAAAATCAAGGTTTTTTTTATTTTTATTTATTTTTTTAACCAGGGAAGAAGTGGTTTTGATGATGATTTGTTTTTATTGTCTCTTATAATAAAAATCCTTTATTTAAACCCATGAAAATTCAGATCCTGTTGTAAATAACAGTAAAAGAAAATCACTTTTTAAAACTGTTGTTCCATTTTTTACCCCCGAGCAAATTTGTATATATCACTCAAATCTGTGTGCTCTTAATGTTTACCATTTAAATAGAATCATTTTACCCCGCTTTTACATTTGGCACAAATATTTTGAATTTTTCTGAGAAACTTTGCATTCATTAGCAAAAAGTACAATAATTTTGTGAGAGAATGCAAAGTATCTTGGGGGAATAAAAAACTTTTGCGAGAAAACAAAGTTTCTTGTGAGAATGCGTAACTTTTACATGTGAATCAGTTTCTTGGGGGAAAGCAAAAGTTTCTTGAGCATGATTTTTTCTCCCATTGCATTTTTGTCCATCATCATGTCCCCTTAGGAGCTCCGTGTAATGCAAATAAATTACAAATAAAATATTTTTTTTCCTTTTTGACTTTAATGCAATAACAAACTCCCAAATGTCTTCTTCCAAAAGAGAGCACAATGACGCTTGTGGTCCAAAGGCTTCACACGCTACAGCCGTTTCCATTCTTATGTTCAAAAGCAGGCTGCAGGTTAACAGCAGAAGTTGATTAAAAGACTTCAAACGACCATCATTTACATCAAAATCCAATCTAAACACATAAAGCACATCTGATTGTTGGACTCTCGTCGGCCCGCCGCGTGTGTGATTTTCCTGCAGAGAATCGTGATGAGTGATATTGTGTGGTACTAAGAGTGGGTGGCGTAAATAAACTCAATTTCATACTCTCGCAAGGCTGCGGCAGATGCCTGGGGCAGATGATGCAAATACAGCAGCTCCTCGGCATGTCGAGGAGCTCGGCTCGGCGCCCGGAGAGAGAAAGACTGATAATTACTACTGCACATTATGACAGCGACACTTCCCCCTCCACAGTGTCATCACTTACCGCTTTCCTCCTTATCACACCGTGTAGACGGCCATCATAAGCCACAATATTCCAGCCCATCGTTTTTCCTGCGAAGGTAAAGGTTAAATGTGGACTTTGATGTCATTTCTGAAGACCCAGAAACCTTGCAGGAAGATGTGAATTCTCTGTAGAAACGGTGCAGGCCTTTTTTTTTTTTTGATAAGGGGTGGATGGTTTTTACCCTGGGATTTCATTTAAAGCCACAAGCTATGAAAAACTTTGAATGTCAGTCGGCCTGAACAGGTGATTGCAAAACCAGTGACCTTTACTCTTAAAAAAGAATAGTGGAAACACATCAAACAAGGCCTCAGACCGTTCCCCAGACAGCCCTCGCTCAACGTAAGTCGATGCGTTTTTAAGACATCTTAAGACTGTATTTCTTGCTTTAACCTGTGGAGTTCGTCTCATGGGGTTCTTATGTTTAAGTTGAGAGAAAGTGATATTTCTCTTAAATATCAGCGTTTTAGGATTGAGTTTCAGATAATGCTGTCTGAGTGGATGCACCTTGAACAGTATATCATGTGACATGGTTCACTTTAACGTTAATACATTGACTACTTAACATTATTATCTAGCATACAGCCTTTGTTCAGTATTAAATGTACTATCACAATATTTTCACTCTCCTTTGTACATCCCTGGTCAATATTTTCTTTAAATAAAAATTAGAATAAGGTCTTCAATTTACTCTGAATATGACAAAAGTTTGCTTAGACGTAAATGTGTAGGAGAAAGTTATAATTTCACAATGCTTACCTGGAGAATGTTGCATGAACATTTAAATTAAAATGTCAGAAGTTTGCCTTTACATACTTATTTTGTAATTAAATTAGTGGATTGTTGAACTTCCAGATTAACAAAAACCAAGGAAGGAGCTTAATAGTCTTTACAGTCAATGTCATATCAAAATGGTATTTGAAATATACATTTCAAGTCTTATTGTGTTGTTAATGTTAACTAAAACTATTACAATCATTTTCATCATTTGAAACTATATATATATATATAGAGAGAGAGAGAGAGAGAGAGATGGAAAAAATGTCAAATTGGCAACTGAGATAAAATAATTTAAAGTTAAAATACTAAAATGACGAACTGAAATAAAAATAAAGCTAAATAGGAATATAAAAAACTGACAAAAATACTAAAACAATCTCAAAATAAATTGAAAACTGAAAATATAATAAAGGCTCATTCAGAATATGAATAAATGCTGGTAAAATAATAGTATATAAAGATACTATGTAAATTATACTAAACTTACACTAATTGTAAATGAATCAATGCGTTTTATTCTATATAGAAATAATTTAGTTTGTCGAAGTAATACAATTATTAAAACTGAAATAAAAATAAAGTTAAATAAGAATATTAAAAAAAATAAAGAAAATTACTGAGAGTTGAACTAAAATAAAATGAAAACTGAAAATATAATAAATGCTATGTGTCACATAGGCGGCTTAAGGTTTTTTTTTGTACTACATTGGTTTCTTGGTAAGTAAAACGGGTTATGCAATACTGTTGACCTTTTAAACTTCAGGGCCTGTATTTACAAAACATCTTAAAGGGATAGGTCACCCAAAAATTAAAATACAGTCATCATTTACTCACCCTCATGTCGTTCCAAATCTGTATGAGTTGCTTTCTTATGTTGAACACAAAAGAAGATATTTTGAAGATTGCTGGTAATCAAACAGTTGGTGGTTGCCATTGACTTCCATAGGAAAAGAAATACTATGGAAGTCAATGGCAACCACCAACTGTTTGATTACCAGCAATCTTCAAAATATCTTCTTTTGTGTTCAACATAAGAAAGCAACTCATACAGGTTTGGAACGACATGAGGGTGAGTAAATGATGACAGAATTTTCATTTTTGGGTGAACTATCCCTTTAAGGCTAAAAGTCGCTCATAACTCGCAGATTTAGGAGAAAATCTTTAAAATAATGGGCGTGTCAGTTCTAAATTTAGGATTCCTAAATTTTTGTTCTAAAATCACGCAGTCCGTGACGGACAAATCGTTAAGGCTGGTCTATGTGGTAATATCGGGCAGGACATCCATATGCAGGGGCGGACTTACCCATTAGGCAAAGGTAGGCGACCGCCTTGGGCCCCCAAAAGCCAAGGGCCCCCTAAAATGCTTTTCATATAGGATATGCGCATTAAGCGCGGAC